GGTTTTTGAGGACGACCATCCCCTGTTGATTGAGCACCGGAAAAAAGAGCTGACGCTTAAAAGGAGCTTTTACGAGTAAGTGTGCAGCACAGGGGTCCTGTACCTAGAGATGCAGGCATGTCCACTTTGAGACATGTCCTTTTTCTGCAACTTTGGTCCTTTGTTTTCTTTAGCTGGAAGCCTCTAGCTGAGGGACTACTCCATGTAAGCAGTTTTGAACATAAGTCTGAGCTACCAGATGAAATACGCCTCTCTAAGGCCAAAGCGGACGAAATGCAGGGAATGAGGAAACAACTGTGAGTCGACTGTATATAAAGATTTACCACACAAACTGGTTCCAATATACTCACACTGTTTTTCTTTTCCCCCGTTTTAATTCAGTGGAATAGAACTCAAAATTAAAGGAAAGCTGGGGTCCATCAAAAAATGGGAGAATGTCAACGACCTGAAAAAAATCTTCAACTTCAAAAAGACAGCAATGTCAGGTATTTCCTGTTTACCAGTACTGCAAATTAGATAAGAGTTTACTAAAAAATAATAGTTGGAGCAACATTTGTTTGAATTAATAGAATAAGTTGCATTAACAAAATGTATACATTTAATATGTAATATGTATATATGTATGTTTATTGTCAAAGTTATCGAGCATTAAATAATTTCAATTGTTCAGTTAACACCTAACTACAGTTTATTTTCCCACAGGCACGTGCATCATTTCCATATCCCTTGTTATGGCTCTTTGTTGCATCTCATCTTTTTGTTCTTGGAAAAAATTTTTTTCCAGAATACGTTGCAGAGCATTGGAAGGAGGATGACTTTTACGGATTCCAGTTTCTGAACGGAATCAACCCCACTGTGATCAAGCGCTGCTCAGAGCTTCCCCGAAACTTTCCCGTTACAGAGGAGATGGTGAAGCCATTCCTGGCTGAGGGTAGCAGTCTGAGCAGGGAAATAAGGGTATTAAAGTAGAGAGAATAATATATATATATATATATATATGTTTATCCTTTAATCATTATTTTAATATGTGGTTTGTATATATATGACTTTCCTGACTTTGTTTTAGTGCTGTCTTTTCCATTATTGATTTCTTTGCTATGCGTTGGTCTTTAAATCGTAACATTTTTTATTTCATTTTCACCATCCTATGTTTTGCCAATCACCTGTAAAGCAATTTGAACTGCATTAGATTMGTTTGAAAGGAATGATTTAAGGTTGATTGATTGATTGATTACAAATCTATGTTGCATCTTGATTCCTTCCCATACAGAAAGGCAATATATTCCTCTATGACCAAAAGAAGATGGATGGAATCCCCCCTCAAGTCTACAAGGGAGAATCTCTGAATGTGACTCCTGGTCTCTGTTTGTTCTACTTGAACCCAGAAAACAAACTGATGCCAATTGCAATACAGGTATATATTTATGAAAATCAAGTGTGGTCATTAAATCCACATAGCATTAGTAATTTCTTTTCAAAAGTTCGGTTCCACTTTTCAAAGATTTTAAAGTCAATCTTTTTTTTATCACACTCCAGCTCTATCAACAGCCCTCGGAGCAGAATCCCATCTTTCTGCCCAGTGACCTGGAGACCGACTGGCTGCTGGCCAAGATGTATATCAAAAATGCAGATATGATGGATCATGAAGCGGTCCATCACCTCTTGAATACTCACTTCATTGCAGAGGTCTACACTGTCGCCACTCTGCGCTGCTTCCCTGTGATTCATCCCCTCTACAAGGTACCACAACACAGCAGAGATCACTCCGCTGGTACACCTGTTTTTCTTTTGACTGGTTTTACAGGCATTTTTGAAGGAATTGAGGGAAACCTGATTTGTTATGGTTGTGTCTTCTTTTTGCTGATCAACACAGCCAGGATGTGCTGTCTGCTTTTTTTATTACTTGTTTGTCAGAAGAACTACCGAACAGATGGATGTGGTATGGGTCAGGGAGGAACTCATTTTTCTTGCAGATTCTGATCATCCTACAAAGTTTCTTTTGGTAGAATTTAAGAGGACTGTTGAACCTTGGCGGAGGTTTGATCTCTAAGTGCCATTCTGGCTGAAATAAGCACTTTACTTTGACATTGAACATTTTCCCCTCTTTCTCTTCAGTTGTTGATTCCACACTTCAAGACAACTATGTACATGAACATTGGAGCCCGTAGCAGTCTACTGGGACCTGATGGGGTTTTTAGAATAGTAAGGCTCTTTTTTTCACATATATAATTCAAAGTTGGACTATTCTACTAATCTTGAACTGTTAAAAAAGAGGATTTCTATAAGATTAACAATGCAGTTGTCTAATGGTAAATATTTCTGTACAATTGATTATTAGAGTTCAGTTGGACTTGAGGGGATGACGGAGCTCATGAGAAGGTCCCTTCCTCTTATGACCTACAGCTCCCTCTGTCTGCCAGAGAACATCACTGCACGAGGACTTGAGTCAATCCCCAACTGCTACTACAGAGATGATGGATTGAAGCTGTGGTACATCATCAACAGGTAACTTTAAATTTAGCTACTAAATATTGCAGATATCCTCACTGATCTGTTTTAAATCAACAGCTTGTGTTCAGGAGAGAAGTGGCGCAGCCTGTAGGAGGCAGGAAAGAATGTATTCATTCTTTACACAAGGGGCTGGACGGAGAAACTCTGCAGAAAGTCCAGAGGCTCTCATTCTGACATTTGCATTCTCACATACAGCCCCTCCGGAGAATGTCTGAAAGCAGCTGTGATGTTTCACCTCATTCTTACAGCATCAAATAACTCATCAAAACCCAAATTACTGGAAAAATTAGCAAATATCTGTGTGATCCAAACAATCTAAAATTTGATGTTGAATTTAACTTTTTGTTTGTGGGGTTTATCACATATTCTGCGGCCAGCCACCAGGTGTCGATGGAGATACTTTGGCCTCACTTTTGTGGAGCTTTTTTATGATGTCCATGTTTAAATTCAGTCTCTGGGTTTTGATAACGGCTTATATACTCAAAATCCTATTGTTTTGTGTTAACCAGCTTCGTGAGAGCAGTAGTGGAGTACTACTATCCCTCAGAYGCTGACGTCTGTAAAGACACAGAGCTGCAGGATTGGATCAGTGAGATATTCACCCACGGCCTCTTGAGAAACAAAGCCTCAGGTATTTAACCCATGTTCTGTATATAACATATAGTGTATAAAACATTTTCCAAGCAAATTGTGAATAACCARTGATGGTTGTGCTGCTGACAGGATTCCCAGACTGCTTTCATTGCACTGAAGAATTGATCAGATTCATCACCATGRTCATCTTCACAGTGTCAGTTCAACACGCAGCGGTCAATAATGGACAGGTGAGGCAAGRGTGAAAAAGTTAGGACACTGGAACATGYATTGAGATTTGTTTTTAAATTTAGAATATATGGGACGTGTGACAGTGTAATATGCTTCTTTCACCATCAGGTTTCATTTCCTACCATGTAACCACATGAAATAACCTAATAAATAAATACAATAATGTTTMATTATAAATTACATGCATGCTGAAACTTCTTTCATCATCTAGTTTGACTACTACTACTGGGCGCCAAATGGCACASKGCTGCTGCACAAACCYCCTCCGACCACCAAGGGGCAGTCAAGCATGGAGAMAATTTTGGAGGCCCTCCCGACAGTTGGAGAGACTGCCTCCATKTCAGCCATGACATATTTACTTTCAAAGAAATACAGTAGTGCTGTAAGTTTGTATTATATATTAATGCATTTGTTAATACATATTTACATAATGCAATAAGTATTGGTCGTTTTTTGCACCGTGGTGTACTCTGTCACTCTAATTTGTCGTTCTCGACTCTGTCATTTCTGCAGGTTCCTTTGGGTCAATATCCTGACAAACGATTCGACGAGCCTGCACTTACGCAGATGATTCAGGAGTTTCAAGGGGAGTTGTCCTACCTCGGTGAAGAAATCACAGAGAGAAACTCGCAGCTTGAATTGCCCTATGCATATCTGCACCCATCTCACATTGAGAACAGCGTGGCTATTTGAGAATTTTATTTTGTGCTGGGAATTTGTTTTTGTTGTGGGAAGGTGTTGCATGATGGGATACGTATATAATTTAGTTGACATGCGAGCCTGTTGTGTAGTGGTGCAGCAACAACTTAATTGATGGACATAGGAAATAAAAGCTTAAACATTTCTCTGACATTATTAAACAAAAAGGCGATATATAATGCTACTTTAAATGTTTTCTGCATTAGTACTCTTTACTACCATTGAGCTTTCCTCCAAAAAACATAATTTAGCTTTCACTGTTCCTATAGTACATTAAGAACATGACAGCAGAGATGAATTAGCTGTAGGCAAACACCAATGTTGTGTTTTGGGAAAAATACATTAATTATTTGCTTAAAACATAAAGATAAAGATGTACTGTCTATAATTACTTCCTGTCACCTGTATTCCACTTCAAATCCATTAAACCTATAATCGCTCATATCTGCAACCTCCCTTCAGTTTATAACATTATGAGACATATATCAATCCATGTCCATGACTGATGCACATGTTGAAACCAGTTTGTTAGGGCTCTTTATGATAAATACTGTACATCTGGACAGCGATGCTTCAGAAATTTGGGAAGGTGAGTACATTTTGAGTAAAGTGAAGACATGTTGGGGGAAGTGAAAACACTCTAAGTAGAGTGAAGACATGTTGGGGGAGGGAGGACATGTTGGAGAAAGTGGGGACATGTTGGGGAAAGTGAAGACATGTTGG